CATTGCCATCGTTATGGCGGCGCGGGGCCGGCTGCTGGGTGGGGGGCGCGGCGCGTGCTTCAGTTTCCCCGGGGGTCCCGGCACTGGGCAGAACCCATGAGGGAGGGGTCGTGCAGGGGCACGGCTCTTTCCTTCGCTTCCCTTCGCCTCTCGGCCGCGTGCTGGAAATGTGAAATTACAATAATAATAAATAATACATACACTGTAAATACAGATCATAAAAAGGGAGTTGGGTGGAAGTGAGGCACGCTCACAGAAGGCCTTGCAGGGGGGAGGAGGCAGGCTCCATCGTCCCGCCAGTCCCGACCGACCTGAACGTCTGCGTTTGTTCAGGGAGACCGTGCTTGCCCAGCCTCAGGCTTTTTAATTTCTCTGAGCGACAGGGAAGGGGACCCCCCCGGGCTAAATGAGCCCATTGCATTCCTCATGCAAAGAGGTCTTCAGCAGAGTTAAACCAAGGAAGGAATTGCCTCATTTTTGTGTATCGTCATTATTTAGGTAGTGGAAAGCAATTTTGAAATGGAGTGTCCCTCCATTTACAAAACTTATGCAGGGGTGTCTTGAGTTCACTGAAGTGTGCCTCGAATCCTAAGTGGTTGAGAACTACAGGTTTCCCTCTATTTATGTGGTACATGTGTTCTTGGAAAACTGCGCATAACTCAAATTCCTATAAAGGGAGCCCAGCTTACAATGCAAGAAATAGGGATGTAAGAAATAGGGTTTTGTTCCCATCTCAGTGAGGAAGTAAGGCTGGGGGGATGGGAGGGGCATGGCACAGCCTGTGGGCCGCTCCCCGGGGCTGCAGCAGGGAGCAAAGTGGGGGAGCTGTCAGTGGGTGCAGGACTTGGGGGTGAGGCTCTTGGTGCTGCATGCACCCTGGGCGACTGTGCCGGGCTCTTCCCCGGGGCGCATGCCCCCTGGATCTGCGCGCAGGACAAGAGCAGGCTGCTGCTGCAGGCTGGGGCCAGCAGCAGTACCAGGTTCTTCCCGGCAGTCAGGGCAGGTGGCGGTGCTGAGGGGAGATGCTGCTACCCCAAAATTTGCCATAGCCCCCCCAACCTGAACTTCCAGCACCACCACTGAGTGCCTGGAAGAACCCGGTGCCACCGCAGGTCCCAGCCTGCAGCAGCAGCCTGTTCTCAGCCCGTGCGCAGATTTGGGGGCACATGCCCCCCCCAGGAAGAGCCTGGCGCAGCCCCCAAGCCTGCAGCCCTCCCAGGGTGTGCATAGCAGCAAGAGCTGTGCCCTCCTGCCTCACACCCCATACCCACTGACAGTTCCCTCCACTTTTCTCCCTGCTGCAGCCTACAGCTGCTGGGCTGCACCATGCCCCGAACCCCCCATGGCTCCACTTGTCCCCACTCACCCCAGCTCCTGCTGCAGCAGTCCTGAAAGCAGCCAACACCACCTGCCTGCACCATGGCACAGCCCAGGAGCTGGGGTGAGTGGGGACAAGTGGAGCCCCAGGGAATTATGGCACAGTGCAGCCCAGTGGCTGCAGGCAGCTGGCGTCAGCCACTCCCAGGGCAGCTACAACAGAGGCTGGCATGAATGGGGCCCCCAGCCCTTTCCTCTCCCCCAACAGACTTACTTGCTTGGTGGGGGGGACACCTATGCTGACTGCATAAGAGTGAATTTACCTTGCATATAACAAATTTGGGTATAAAAATGGTCATCGCATAAGAGTGAATTTGCACGTACAGAACCCACATAAATCGTGGGAAACCTGTGCTGGCTTAAATCGTTACCACCTTGCAAGGAAACTTAACTTTGTGTTTTTTACAGGGGAGGTGGACTGAGAACACTTTCAACTGTTATTGCTTGTCTTATAGTAAAATTTTTATTTTGCTAGTTTTAGGGTGCGTCTACATGTTCATTAATGTGCTGTAATTACAGCGCATTAAGTTTAGTACCCGTAATTACTTAATGTGCTGTAATCAGTGCTACTGCACATTAGCACAGATGAACGCTTTCTAAGTGATACTTAGTACCCATTGAACTAATCTACTGTGCATTACCATGTTTTTTGCACGACATGCTAACGCACAGTAGAATTAGTCCAGTGAACATGAAGCGTCTCATGTAGTAATGTAGTCATTGTAACTACCCTGGACTTGTGATTTTAAAAAGAGCTTGGTTGGAAGAAAATATCATTTTCTTAGTTTCGGCCCTGCACTGGTCTTAATCTATCCTTGGATGTAATTCAAAAACAAATTATATGTTCTGATTTCCTTGCTTGTTACTCTGGTCCCTGCACAGACCCACTAAAACCTTATTTGGTTATTCAGAGTGAATGCTGTGAAGGGTAGGATACACCGCATAGTACAGGTTTCCCTCGCCAACCACAGGGGTTAGGTTCATGAAAGTTTCCATGGTTGGCAAAACTGTGGTTGGTAAGACAAATGGCTTATGGGAAAAATGGGGTTAGGGACTTGAATATGAGTTCCAGCCTCCAGGGAGTTCGGAGGGTGTGGAAGGAAGGCGATGCAACAAGGGGCGCCACGTGCATGTACAGTAAATGCATGTGGCCCCAGGCAGCCTGCAATGCAGCTCCAGCAGGTAAGTGTGGGAGAGAGGGAGATTGAGGTCCCTGTAGGGATGGAGCTGCTGCCCAGCTGGGCAGTGCTTGGGGCTGCAATGAGCAGCTGCAGGGTCCCAGTGGGGAGCAGGATGGGGCTGTGGGTGGCTTATCCAGGGGAGGGGGAGGGCCAGCTCCCTGCCAGCGCATGTACTCCGGGGGGGCAGGGGAGACCCCCAAATCTATATGTGGGGCAGGTGTAGGTTGCAGGCATGGGCTTCTGCCCTGCTTTCCTCCTCTGGGGCCTCTGCCAACTGGCGGGCTTGACCTGGCATGGCTGGGGACAGTGGGGCCGTGCAGGGATCTCGCCACAGCTCGCTCTCCCCACTGCCCTGGTAATGTGCCTCCTGCACTTGCCGCTGCTTTGAGGGGGTGCAGCCCCGTGTACAGGAGGTGCATCACCAAGGCAGGAAGGGAAGCAGGACAGCAGGGTGGTGAACAGTGGCGAGCAGCTTCTCAGTGCAGGCCTCTGTTCCCTGCTGTCCTGCTTCCCTCCCTTGTGACCCAGCACATCAGGGAGCAGAGGAGCTGCACAGGGATCTCTTCATCTGCTGCTGATCACCCCACACTGCTTTGGCTGCCCTGCCCAAGCCCACAGCAAGCAGCAGAGGGGAGTGGGGGCAGGGAGCTGCAGACCTGAGTCCATAGCCCTGGCAGCCAGAGGCCCCCTCTGGCAGGGCTGGGGGAGCAAAACCGTGGATATTCAAAACTGTGGTTGGTGACGGAAACCTGTACCTATCACCTATATGTAGTGCTTTCTGTTTTTAAAAAAGAGATGCATGCACCAGACAAGGTGGGTTCTTACAATGGTGGTTTCACAGTATCACTTCAGAGTTAAAGCTGTCTCTGAACCTGAACTGGATAAAATGGGAAAATATTAGTTTCTCCTAATGGACCACAGGAACATCATTTCTAATCCTAAAGCATTCTACCAACAGCCACACAGAATGTTTAGTAGTTCATTTTGCACCATTTTTGGGAAATATTTTGACTGATTTTCTACTAATTACTTTTCCCCTTTCTTGGACAGGAAGAACCTCATCAGTTGTATCCTTTCTGTAAATTCCATCCTTCACACTGAGGGAGGAGCTGTGAGAATATTTGGAATGAATGATTTGCTTCTTGCCTAATAAGTTTACACAATGTTATCTTCATTATTACCCTATTTTAACTTCTCAGTAATCAACACCATCTTTTTGAGGTCCTAGGGGTAACCAGTAGCTTCTCAGGGAATGTATTCACTGCAGAGTTAACTCTGGTGCTGCTTCAATGTGGCTCCTGACCAAGTTAATCAGAGAGAATAGGCTTTTAGAGATGTATGTGAGAGAGAGGAGGATGGGCAGACTGGTTGGTCCATAGTAATGCTCTATCGACAAATGAGATTTGTAGACTAATCTTCATGAAATCTGTGCAGCACACACCCCTGAGACCTGACATTACACAGCTGACGAGAGGTGCTTAAAAGGATTCCATAGCACTCCCTTTTTTCTCCCTTGAGTTAAAACCTTGATGTCCCCCACACACACACCCATACCCTTTCACCCTTGCCAAAGGCTTTGTAACCACCGAAGAAAAAAGACAAATTATTCTTCAAACATTTCTGCTACTGGAATTTCTCCAGCATTTTGCTCCACCTTCCTTCAACTAGAGAAACATGAAAACCAAGTTCTGCTTGAACAGGATTAACAACCTTGGGAACTGGAATACACCCATCCATCACATGCAGGTGCTGTCATCCAAAACTAGATGAGAACCAACGCTATATAGTATAGAGAGGATCAGAGTATCAACCTCAGTCTTAGGAATGATTCAACAAATGTGGCTAGAAATCTGGGGTCAGAATTTCTGTATGGGCATTTTTCTACAGCAGGGGTTTCCAAACTATGGCACGTGTACGCAAGACATCTTGGGAGGAGTGGTATGCAGGAGAAACTGTAATGGTAGATTTAACTTTCATTATTATAATAATAATTGGCATTTAAAGGGTTAAAATATAAAATACATGCTGGTAGGGAGATGCAGGCAGCTGGTAAATCTGGAAGGGGGGACACAATAAGGAAAAGTTTGAGAACCTCCATTCTAAGGAAAGCATCTATAGTGCATGGGTAAGATGTTCAAGCCGGCACTTGCAGTCCTCCCTACCCCCAGGAATGGTGTCTAACAAGCAACCAGTGAGCTACTAAGATAATACAACTAAAATAGCAGGGTTGTTTCAATACTGAACTCTGCTAGCTAGGCAGTGCTTTCCCAGCATACCATACTTTCTTGCAAACCACTCCAAGATATTTTGGATGCATATACACGATCGGGGAGGTTACTGCAATGCACCGTAATTCCAGCATGTTGGAGCATGGCAATTGCTGCGCTCCAGCAGCATCCTGTGCCTTGTGTATCAGCATCCCTGTGGTTCAAAATTGCGGCAGGGGTGCTTCATTTAAAGTTTGTTAGATGCTTCTCCCGGGGCACGTGTCTAAACGCCCCTTGTTTTTGGGAAGGCAGAATGAAAAAAAAAAAAGATTTTTCCAGAATTAGGGCCACACACAATAGAGACAGCTTGCTCACCCTTCATTTGCTGCTTAGACAAAACCTACCATTTTAACCCTTTCACATCTGAACTGTCAGCAGATCTAGGATTTGGGGGGAAAAAACCTAAAAACAGCCTACAGGACTGTGAAATAGGAAAAGAGACTAGTAGCTAACAAAAAGCAGAACTGCTGAAGAAATGACAGCTTGATTTGTGGAATATCGAGACTATTAAGAAAGAAAGGGTTGTCAGCACCTCTGGAGTGAAAAGCAGAGAGCAAAATTGCCAAAGATAGGATGGCTTGATCATCAAGACCATAAAAAGAAGAGCAGGTCACCAATGCCTGTTGAGTGAAGAGTAATTAGCAGGAATAGAGTAGATTATAATAAACTATGAAGTAAATTGACTCCCTCAGGGCTGCCTGATTAATGCTGCTCGTGTGCAGAAAATCAGCTTCTCATTTCAGGACATGCTTTAGGAAGCCTGATTCTTGGGAGTAGGATATGTGTGGCCTGTAAATTTGGTGTACTCTTGTTGCAGGTTTTATCTGACTGGCAAATGGGTGGTGAAGGTTTGTTCCACTAGTCTAGGATTTGGGAAATCTGCATTAAGTCCCTGAGTGCATGAGTTCTTCATTTGTAAAACAGGGTTGACAGCACTTCTCACCCCCATTCACACAGGTATTGTGAAGTTAAATACCTTAAAGATTGTGAGGGAGATCCAATGCAACAGTAATGGGACCCATATAAGCACTTAATATCGAAAAAACCATTATACATATCCTACCTCCAGACAGCAAGCTATCATTCTGAATTCATGGCATTTTTTATCCAAATTTAATGTAGTTTTCCCCCTCAAGATCCCTATTGTCTTGGCTGCATGGGCTGTTATGGATAGTGACTTTGTTTTTAAAAACAATGTGCCCAGAAACACTAATAAAAGAGATCTCAACTGCTTTACTAGTAAAGATCCTTAATAACTTCTGCCAGCTGTCATCTGTTCCTTTACAGATTTTGTTCTACTTAAATGGAATTTATTACATATTTTATTTCTTGGCAACTCTTCTAATGATTATTTATAAGAGTAAGTTGCTTTGCATATACAAGCAGTCCTCGGACTTATGATGTAATTGGTTCCTGAAAAACGTGTCTTCAGTCGAAACGTCGTAACTCAGAACCAATTTTCTCATAAGAAACAATGTTATAAATGGGGGTTTGGTTCCTGAACCAAGGCCCAATACCCTATTTTCACCAAAAATACCCTAGAATTTTGTACTCAATGAATTATAGATGAGTAATATAGCTACATTATTTCATAAACTTTTCATAGACATTTGGGCTGGAAGGGACCCCAGAGGATCATCAAGTCCAGCCCCTTGCCCCAGGGGCAGGGAGTCAGCAGGGACCATAGGATCCCAGCAAGATAAGCATCCAAATGTGTTTTGAAGGTGTTCAAAGTGGGTGCTTGAACTGCCTCAGGTGGCAGTCTGTTCCAAACCTTGAGGGCTCGGATAGTGAAGAAGTTCTTTCTTATGTCCAGCCTGAACCGGTCACATGGAGTTTGTGACCGTTCAATCTTGTCATCCCTTGGGGCGCTCTGGTGAACAGATGTTCCCCCAGATCCTGATGAGCACCCCTGATAAACTTATAGGTGGCCACCAGATCACCCCTGAGCCTACACTTTTCCAGGCTGAATAGCCCCATTGCTCTCAGCCTCTCATTATAAGGTCTGTTTTCCTGACCTCTGATCATGCACGTGGCTCTTCTCTGCACCCTCTCAAGCTTCTCCACATCCTTTTTGAATTGTGGAGCCCAAAACTGGACGCAGTACTCCAGCTGCGGCCTCACCAAGGCTGAGTACAGTGGAAGAGTGATGTCCTGGGATCTGCTTGAGAAATGTATTAAAGTATTTATATTGTAAATAGCAATCATATTTATTTGGAAGGACTTCGAGGTGATTTTGCTGGACTTTTTGAAGGGTTCTTGGCTGGAGTCTTCTCAGGAGTCTTGGCTGTAGGTTTTTCTGGAGTCTTGTCTGCTTTCTTAAAGAAAGTGTCCATGGAAGTTTGGACAGATATTCTCCAGGGAGATAAGCAACGCAGCGAACTTGTTCGCTGGCATGGCGTCACATCAGATCAAGCGTTGTAAAGTTGAAATTGATGTCATAAAGTTGAAACAGGGTGTCAATTTATAAACACTGTAAGTGCAAAACATTGTAACTAGAAACGTAAGTCGAGGACTGTATTCTAAATGCGGAAGTTAGAGCTGTACCTTACGTTTGGATGTAATTAATTATTTTGGGCTTTTTACATGTTACTCAACAGGTCAAGTTTTCAGTTATCCAGATAATTTCTTGGCACTTGATCTTGCTTTGCTATTCATTATGGCCATTCTGGAAGCAATCCGATTATACTTGGGTATGTTATGCTATCACTGTTCCCTTTAAGACAATGTTCATCTCCTCATCCTTAAACATTAATGACTTTGTGTACATCAAAACATGTTGATTTAGCAAATCAACATATTTTATAGGTTGTGGTACATGCCTGGTATTAAACATTAACTGTTTAATCTGTTTGGCCAAAAGAGGCAAACAAAACTAGCCTACAGATGTTGGTTATTAAGTATAAGTAGTGTGTACTATTGAAAAGTGATGGCTAGACATAGTGATAATTGCTACAAATATAACACTGGCATGTTGCTGTATTATTTGTAAGCATAAGTGTTGTGAGAGAGGGTAATCTCACCACAGAGCTTCTGATTCAGTAGTAAGAGATGCTTTCTTTACACTTCCAACAGCATAAACATACAGTCACATCGCTGGAATCATCCCCCGTGCAGTACTCAGTATAGAGCAATGGTGAGCAACCCATCAAGCCCTCTGGGGCTGGGCCAGGGCATGGCATGCGCCCACAGGCCTCCCCATGGCTTTGGGAATTGGTAGGTTGAGCAGCGGCAGCATTACCGTATTGACTTGATTCTAAGATGAGTGTTTTTACCCCATTTAACATTGGGGGAAGACCTTTAGAATTGAGTCTGAGGGCGGTGTGGGGAAGGCAGCTGCTGTGTCTTGGCCTCCAGCGCCTACCCAGGATCAGGGCCATAGGCACAGCTGCTGTCTGGCACTCCTCCCCCTGCCTCTGCACCCCACCATCTCCCTCCACCACACACAGCCTCTGCTGCCCTGCCTGCCGGTCTCCCTCCCCCTCCTTACCCTTCCTCTGTACCAGCAGGCATCGTGCATGCTGCAGTCTGGGTGCACAGAGCACAGCCCCAGCCTGGCCCCATAGCAGCAGTGTGCAGCTCCCACAGCTACAGCAAGAGCTGGGCATGAGCTGTGCTCAGTACCCCAGGCTAGCACTGGGATGCAGCCTGCCACTGTGGAGTAAGGGTAAGAGTGGGGGAGAGTGTATGGAAAGCAGGGAGCAGAGGCTGGAAAGAGAAGGAGGGCAGGGAGAGGAGGAGGAAGTGGGGAGCAGAGGCAGCAAGCAGGGGGCAGGCATAAGCAGGGGGCAAGCTGCTTAACCTCCCCACACCGCCTGCCCCCTGCAGCAGCAGGGGGACTGAATTAAAGACAACCCTTCAATAATTAGATTTTATGCATGGAATAGTATAACAAATGTATACATTTTCCATGCATAGAATCTAATTATTAGGGCATCATCTTAAATTCAGGGTAATCTTAGGTTCCAGTAAATGTGGTAATTGCTGTTGCTTTGGGAGCCATGGTGATTACCACTGCCACCACTCTCCCACCACCAAATTTCCAGACACCTGGAGGGCCTCAGGGTTTGGATGACACAGCTCCATGGGCCAGATCTTAGTCACCCCTGGTATGGTGCAGTGGGGCCAGTTTTTTTGGCAAGAATGCCACAAATTAGCCTGGCACCCTCCCCAAGTGCCACGCCAACCCCTTCCTCTGCTCAGTCTGCTGCTCTGTTTTCTGCTCCAAGCCCTGTGCCACCTGCCCAATTTGTTGCTTTGCCTTGTGCTCCCTGCCCTATCTGCTGAACGCTGCACACAGAGGCTGCCCCTGCCACTTGCAGCACCGGTGCTACAGATTGGCCACTGCTGGTGTAGCAGGTCCCCCTCCCCCTGCAGTTTAGAGATGCTACTGTGGCTCCATACCACTCCCCAGGCCCTCCAGTACTGTATTCTGGTGGTCAGATCCACTCTGACCAAAGCAACATGAAAGGTGCATATCAAGCCCTAGTTCCAACCCTAGCACAAGCACTGCTTTTATGTAGTTGCAAAATGCTGTTTTGTCTAAAATCATGTGCCTGATGCTCTTAAGACATTTAGATCATGACCCTATGGTGACTTCAGTTGGGTTGCATCTAGAATGAGTATGGCTAGTGCCTTCATTTTTATAATTAAAAAGAGGCTTTAAACAAGTTTTCTGTGTGGGCTCAAAGCCTACTGGATGAATACACTGTATACAAGGAAGTTATGACCTTGAGCTTGACTTGGAAGAAAGGTACAAACCAAAAATACAACACAATTTTTTTACCAGCAAAGGCAATTAAATATTGGAACAGATTCACACGAGGGACATGGTAAATTCACCGTTGCTTGAGACATTTAAGTGGAGATTGGATATCCTGATAAAAGTTGTACTATAGCAAACAGGTTATCAAGCTCCATGCAAGAACCAACAGGGCAATTCAGTGGTCTGTTCAGCAGTAGGTCAGACTGGATGCTTGTAATGGTCATACCTGCCTTTAAAGTTCATTAATCTATGCAGATAACTTAGATGTTGCAGCTCAGAGCTGGGGTGTCATGACTGACTGGGTTGTAGGCAGTCACTCAGCAAATTACTGTAAGCAAGCCAGGGTCACACCAGGTATCATTTGAAATCCAGGGCTTCAGGCCAAGGATTGAGGCGGTATTGTGTCAGGGAAGAAGGTAGATCAGAGCTAGGAGGTCCAAACAGATCTGGGGATGGGGAGGAAGGGGGCAGGGATTGTGGTTGGGCTGGGATCAGGCAGGAGCTAACAGGAACAGGTGTGGAACTGGGCAGCAGTCCACACAAGCAGTGTTGCTGGCACAAGTCCCACAGGGGTTATGAGGGTTTTTATAGACCTCCTGTAAAACCCTCCTGTTAGGGGTTTGTGGTGTCTATAGATTCCCCGGTCACCTGACTCCTGGTTAATATATCCTTATGGGAGGAAACAGCCTGGGCTGGGGCTGGCATCTGACCAGCTGTGTAGTGGTGTTGAGGGCCCAGCCTCTGTCTGTTGGCCTAGTTGCCCCAGGTTCAAATCCCAGTAGCCCTAATAAGGGGTGTCTGGTTCACTTGGCCTCACCTCTAAAAAAAGGCAGTAGTAGGCTGTTGGCATGCCTGCTGGAGCTGCTGAATCAGTGCAGCTCTGGAAGCCAGGAGACAAGTGCCATTGTTGCTCACCTTTTTCCTTGCTGCTGCTTTTAACTGCCAATGGTGACCAAAGGCCCTAAATTCAGCAATAGCATTCACCCCCCGTTTTCCAGAGCCATGCCAGTGTCATGGCTCTGGCAGCTGTGCCAAGCCCCATGGGCCACAACTTAACTCTCCGTGGCCCCAGTTAGACACCCCTGTCTTAGGATATCAGTAGCTTGTCCTAGATCTAGATTAGCTTTGTGATCAGTGCAAACAGCTATCCATTGATTTTTTTTTTTTATTTGTTTCTATGCTTACAAACAATAGCCCTGATTCAGGAAAGCACTCAAGCATGTTCTTAAGCTTAAGAATCTGCTTATGTGCAGTCATTGAACAGGAACTAGGACTCAAATTCTCACTGCAATTCTAAAAACCTCTAAAAATGCTTTTTTTTATTTCCACAAGGTACAAAAGGTAACTTGACAGAAGAAGAAGCTTCACTAGGGGTCAGTCTTGTGATCACTGTTGGCAGTGTCATCCTGTCTGTCTATTTCTTGGTATGGGAGACCTATGTACTGAAAGCAGATGTCATTATAAACACTATTCTTCTTGTGACGTATGGGCTTGAAGCAATACTACAGATCATTGCCATTGCTGCATTTGTCAACTAAACTTCTACTCTGCCCAGCATTGTACAGGGCATCTTTTTCTGATGTGGTTCTTCAGGAAAAGGCACAAAGGTGCACCTTTAAAGGGTTCCTTGCAAAAATATTTGGTTTTCTCCACTGTAAAAACTGAAGAAACTCCTCTTCCCTATATTACAAGGTATGTTTATAGCTTTTCTCTGGCAGGAACTTCCCTGAATTAGCAATGAAAATATTCTGAACAGTGGTTATGCTCCACTGTCTACAATTAATTTGTTCAAAAGCTAAGACCATGAATCACCAAACTACTGAAGTACATGTTTCAATTTAAGCATATGAATAATTCCCATTGAAACCTACAGGAATGCTCTGGGTTTACAGTTAGGCATATATGCAAATATTTAGCAAACTGAATTCCTGTATGGGTCTGTGGTATGTGGAGATGTATTTTTATAAATGGTTGATTTAGTTATGAATCAAATATTTGTATCCACATCAGAACAAATACAAACCTGTGTATTACTCTGGTTATATGCTGGTTTTAATTCCATTGATTTTAATGGCATCATACTAGCATAAAACCCCAGTAACACAGATCTGAGTCAAGAAGAGGCATAACAGTGTGGCCAGGTGTCTAAGGCAGCTGCTGCACACAGAGGCAACAGCAGCTTCCAGGTGCCACCACTGGCATGATTGGCCACGTCATTATGTGGCAACAGCTGTATTTTTCCATCCCCACCCCCCAAAGTTGGCATCTGAGGCAGCTGCCACTGGATTCAGGCTTTACATTAAAAGAGGTGAATCAGGTCCTATATACTATGGGCTCATTTCTGCCCTACTTTGTATTTGAGGGAAGAATTTTGCCCTATTACTCATATTCTGATTTGACTTGTGCCTCCTCACACAAGCATAGCTATACTGACTCCGTGGCGTAACCTCTCATTTATCCTTGGGTATGTAAGAACAAACAGTGGCTTGATCTATACTATGCAACTCAAGGGCAACACCACCTCTCTGAATCAAAGATGGTTTCTGCTGCCACCTGGCATGTCTGCCTTCTGCCAGCTGCTGCAGCTCCTTTAACAGCAAGGTCTACTCTGGGTGCACAGTTGCTATAGAAGAGTTACCAAGAAGGATGTGAATTGTACCCTAAAACCTCCTTGAGAAGATGGTTGCTTGTGCGCTGCCAGAACTTCTGGTGGCAGAAGCAGGCTAGTGTAGACAAGGCCAAAACTGAGTCTCATATATGCACAAGGGAGTTGAATGATCCTTGCTTTGGCAGCCATGGACTCAGTTGTCTACATTAAGGCCAGCTTCAGCATTGTGAAGGCCATCATGGGACTTTAATATGGGAGGACCTTAAGGGGACCTTACTGTTATGCACATTTTGGGTGTCCTTTGTATTGCTACAGGTGCCCTACCATTGAACTTCCTGACTTTAAAGTTTGGGTCTAACGTTGTTGACAGTTTTTATATTTAATATGTGATGCGACTATTTTTGTAAATTTCTCTTCCTGTTCTGCAAAATCACTATTTTAAGACTTGTTCTCCTAAAGGAAGTATTGTATGCAAGCCAAGTTTTTCAAACAACTATATTTTTAAGCAATAATGTGATCCTATGGTGGAAGCTGTACAGGGGTATAAACTGTATATTCATAACATTTTATTTTTATATCTATATTTAAAAAATAAACTATCAGACCAAGTACTGTTTTCAAGGACAAAAATGTCTTGAGCTACATTCTGGGGACCAAGGCTCTGTGTGAATATGTACATGTGCATGCATGTGTGCTTGCACACCTGAAAAAGATTCTTCTGATTCTGTTGTTGTGTTGAGGTTCCCATGCAGTGTAAGGTCCCTGGCAGGCATTACATCTGTCATATGTTATATGCAAGTACTTCACAAGAAATCATAACATGCCAGAAACGTAGAACAGCAACTTGTTTATGGTGCAAAAGTATCCCATGATAATTTTAACGTGTGGCCAGTTGGCATGTTACAATTTATTCGTGTAATATTTGTATACAATGTGTGATGAAAGCAATGCCTGTCCAAGGTCTAGAAGAGCATCCCTAGGTCTGAGTTAATTTACACACAGCTACAGGGACCAGAAATGAAGCCAGAGACTGGTATAGCCCAAACACGGCCTCTGCCACCCTACTTTTCCCAGTTATGATGTCAAATGGTGGAAGGGCCCCTGTGGTAGCACTATGCTACCAAAGGAGCAGTTCTTCTCTCTGAGCCACTAAGCACCAATTTTAAGGCCAGGTTACACCTACTATGTAAGAAAAATCAAATCTACATTTCTGCAGAATTTGTAGGAGTTCTCTCATGGATTAAAATCCTAGTCCCATTAAAACCAGCAACAAAAAATTCCATTGAGTTCAGTCACTCCAGGTTTTTACCTCTAAAGTCAATGTGAAAACTGTAGGATTGGGATCTAAGAAGCAGCAGAGTGGCTAACTATTCACGCGCTTAATCAGCATATGTTACATGTCCACTCTTCTGTACTTCAACATTTGCCTGATACAAAGAGATCTGCCCAACATATACCTTCTGTTAATGATGAACATACAACCTATAACATATCTACATCCAGCCTAAACACAAGAATAACACACCATGCATGAATCCTTGTGCAATTTATTTTAATTTGCATATATGAATAAATACATGGTCATTTCTTGGTACAGAGTGCTGCCCTTGTATATGTACACAGGACAAGTGCATAATTCATTTAACCTCTTATCACAATATCAGTCCCAGTGTGTTGTCTTTTGCTTAGCTTAGAACAAACTTCAGTTGTTTGCATATCAGTTAAGTGAATAAACTGCTTAGGGCCAAGATTGCCCCAGTTTCTACTTTGCAATGTAATTGTACTCTATTATTAATTGCATGGAAATGGTGAGGTGGAAGCAGCTGTCCAAAGGCTGCTTTGAAATGGAAGGAGCTAGTAAAGTTTAGGATTGTAGCAGGGCACAGTGTACTTAATAAGCACTGTTCACATTAAACTCAGGTAAGTGTATAGGCTTTTCCAATCCCAAGGCTATGGTCTTAAACAGGGCACACCTTAGTTAGTTATACCTGCCTCATGCAAAGATTTGAAAATGTAGGTCTCCTTTAAACCCAAAGGAAAAAGTATGCAATCAAAAACAGTTACCTGATATAAGTGCATATGCAGAATGGGATAGCATGTATGACTAGTTGAGTCGGAGTTTGAACTCCAGGATAAACTTATGTCTTTCCTTTGCCTCTGATGGCCTAGAAGGGTAGCTGCCATTACAGCACATAATACAAGTCTGTGTAGAGATAACAAAGACATAGATAATTGCTAAAAGTCATTACCAAGTTAAATACATGTGTTATTTTGTTTCCAAAGGTTGATATCGTCCCACAAATAAGAAGTGAAGTCCTGTGGCCTCTGTTGCAGGCCAAGTATACAGGCTCTGTCTCTTGGTTTTCCACATCTCCTGAAACCTTAGCCTTTAGTTTTGGGTAGGCCTGGACAGTTGTATGGTGGAAATGTAGCAGCTACAGCCTGGCTCTTTATTTGAAACATGGTCCTGTGATACTTTGTGATGTCTCTATATTGCTCTCCAGACAGCCTAGCATTGACTTGAAAGCTGCTTCTAAGAGTTTAACTAAAGGAAACACTAAGACAATCTACTTTGCAGTGGGGAGGAAACAAGAAAAAAATAATACTGCTTTCTTGGGAAGTCAACTAAAGTCCAATCTACACACACACACCCTTGCACTGTGCAACCGCCGGGCTTCAACTAGCCGCTCTCCGGCGGAATTTGATCTACTGGCAGATGTCACGCCCCTTCTGGGCCTGTTTGTTGTTGAGGTAGTTCTCTCCTCCCCGCGTCGCCAACCCCATTCTCCCCTGCCACATCTTGGTGTTCTTCAGTAGGTGGGGTCAGTTAACAGGTCCCTTGGTGGCCCGGGCTGTGCCCAAAGGTTGCTCACAGGGCTCCACCACCCCTACACCCTGGCTGTTATCCACGGTCTTCCCCGCGGGTCACGTTCACTGCTCCATGTCCTGGAGCCAATGGCTAGAGGCTCTGCTTGCCCCGCGGGCCAGCCCCTATAGCCCTTCACTCCTCGGTCCCTTCCTTCGGGGTACCTCCCCCACTTTGGCACCCTACTGATGCTTCCCTGCAGCCCTGCCACAGGGTCGTTTATCCCTATCGCCTATGCCCCATTGCTCAGGGTAGCAAAACAAAACAAATACACCTAAACCGACCCGTAACCTATTCCCGTTCCCTGGACCCTTAAGGGGAAGGATGGCTCTCCTCTCTGTTCGTCACTCCCCGGACTAGCTTCAGTTCATCACTTAACACACTGGGCCCCAGCGGCGATCCCCGCCCCGATTACAACCCCCTTCTGGGCTGTCCCCGGGTCTTCGCCCCTTGGTGTGTTGTCCTCCATGCCCCATCGCTCTGGCACTCCCACCTGGGTCCTGCTGCACTCTCTGGTGCCACTTCCACTCTCCCTCCACTCAGCCAGCCGGTCGCTCCTCCATTGTTAGGCAGGGGTCCTTGACAGGGTGCTCCTCTCTCCCTAGCCAGCGTCATCTCCTGCTTGTCAAGCTCCCCGGGGTCCACTCGTGGAGCCCGCTCTGCCGCCGGCATCAGCTGCAGCTCCATCTCCTGGCTATCTTGCCCCTCCACAGCTGTGGCCGCCATTTTTATTTTCGCCGGCCGGCCTCTGACGTTACCGGCTGGCCATAATTGTACAAAGAGGCGGCTAACGAGCCGCACAGGTTCCTGTTCCCGCCCCATGTGCATCTCGTCCCGAGCTGCTGGTGAGTGCCCTGCGTTGCTTCGCTTCCCAGGACACACTGATATGGTTAAATGGGAACTAATCCCTGCAGGCATTCTTGTTTCATTTTTAAAATGACTTATTTCAGCTTAACCTTATTCCTAATTGATTTAATCAGAACTGAAGCCATCCTCATACTAAAATAAGTTTCTGTGGAGATGTCTAACCAGACTGGTTTGAACTCACACCTTTAGTTAAGACAAAGCAACTACCCCTGTAGACAAGCTCTAAACTTTCCAATAGCACCAAAATCTCAGTAGTGAGTTTTATGCTCTAGAAGCAGTCTGGGCCATCATGCACATCTAAGTGGTTGGCTTAATAGATCAAACGCTTTTATTTTTCTGAAATGAGAGAGAATACTTAGCATGCATTAAGCA